AAATGCGAGTGTGTTCTGAAATCTTCGGGTTAACATGTGTCAACCAACTAACAGCAAGTTATGCCAAGGCACGCATCCGAGAAGCTAAATACTATTAGCCATCGAACGCAAAGTTACGCTGCAGGACAACAGCTACAAACAAGACAATATGCGAAGTATGCAAGGAGATAACGATTGTTTGTCAGTAACAATTACGAAATTCATCGAAACACGCATAAACCTACCTCGAACTTCACCTCTGCAGCAGTACATGTGTGGGCAGCCATTTTTTCATCTGGAGTTCTACGCTTGCGCAAAACATGAGTTTAACCGCTTTGTAAGACGCTCTGTGATTGGCTGAGTAAATTGCCTGGTTCTGGAACGAGAGTTCCTATGCGGGTTGTTCAGATCCGGTGGCTTTCACGAACAAAACCATTCTTGCAGCAAAATAATTGTAACGTCAAAAATAATTAAAATAAATAATAATAATAGTAAATAAATAAAATAAATAATAATTATAGTATTTATATAAAAAAAATTAAAAAAAATTAAGCCAACCAGGATCTTATTTTAATCAGATTGCCAGCAACACTACGATAAAGACTTACCGTTTTCGACAATGTTTTTGTTTTCATGCAGAAAATACAGTATTTTCACCAAGTAAAATCATATTTATTAAAGTTATTGTTCATACATGAGTTGTCGAACACACTACATAATTTCTAATTTCATTCAGCTCCTTTCAGTCACGATTCAAGACAAATAAAAGGCACAAATATAGATAATCTTTTTTTCCCGTAATATTCTAGTGTAAACAGTAATTATGAAAATTATTCATAGGTGCATAGGGAAAAACATTTTGTTGAGAATTATTCTTAATATAAATTTCTGAATTATCTTGTCAAAATCAGTTTTTTCAGGGTTTTTTCCTCAAAAAACAAAAAAATTTCACAATGTCGAAAACGGAATGTCTTTATCGTAGTGTTCAGCGTACATGACAAACTAATGTGCATACTAGTTCATCACTTTGTAGTCACATTCGCCTAAGAACATGAAGCATACATTGCCGTGATGCATTGAGGATATGTATTAATTAATTAAAATTCAATTATCTTCACACGTTGACACAATCCAGGAAATTTGTATTAATTAAATATAGAGTGTACATTTTAGGCACATTTTGAAAACTACACAATGTTAATATGATGAGTGTGAACAATTGGAACATTCTGTTTTCAGTGGAACACATTCAAAAGCGGGTCTAAATTTATGTTTCAGTGAAAAATGTTGATTTCTATGTCTGTACATAAACATCTTATCATCGTAAAAACATGTTTTATGCGACGTTGGGCAGCACAAAATCAGGTAAAAACTGTTCTCCTATTTTTAAAAAAAATTTAATGCAGTTTTGAGAAAATCAAGCTCATTTCATTAATAAAAATAGTAATTTCTTCGCATTTTTGCCAAACTACCATATCTATCATTCTGAAATAAACATATAACATGACGAGTCTTAAATTTCATCTTCGTCATTTATTACCTTTGAAAAAAAGAGATTTGTTGAAGAGGCGCGGTGCATCTCATCCTTAAAGCGCGGTAGTCGTCGCGCTTACATGGGTCTCATATAAACAAAGATGGCGACTTTGACTGTTGCGCAGACCAATGAGTAAGAACTGACACGTTTCCAAGCTTTATTTAGGTAGTTTTCATGTGATTGGAAGGTATCGAAGGAGTCACCGGCGGTAATCAGTGCAAGTCGCGCCAAGGTCAAACCTCATATTTGTTATTTCCATTTGAAGAGCGCATTGGATTGTGGGAAAATCAATGTTTATCAACACAAATGTCGAACATGCACAGCGCGACGACTGCCGCGCTTTAATCTTCATTTGGGGGAGGGGCATACGTTACTACGTACCTGTAATATCTTTATACTATCCAACATTGCCAAATGATGTTTGTAACTAAAATACAATGTAACTGTGAAACCTAGAACTGTACATCTTTGTTGACCCGCTTCACTCGTTACAAGATTCGATGTTTCCGCACTGTATGTATAATTCGTTACATTCAATGTGTTTTCTTGGAGATTTATTTCACCCATGATTTGACACACTCTATCTGAAACTAATCAGACTGGAGTAATAGGGCATTCGCGGCAAAAGGAAGCGAGCATGTTGGTTAGTCATATGACCATAGGCAGTGAAACATGTATACGTCTGATTATATAGCTTACAGACTCTATTAAATTCAGCCGGTTACTTCGAGCGAGCTATTGGGGTTTCGTTACTTTCAAATATTATTCTTTTTATTTCATTTCTGAAATGAACACAAGACACATAAGAGTCTTCCAACGTACGTTGAGGTATCAAATTATACTGCAAAAATGGGATCGACGCTATAGCTAATGTCACCGATGTTATACACACTACATCATTTGTTTTTTCTTATCATTTTGGTTCCCGACAAAGTCATATTTGCTTTGCAATTCGGTGAGCAACAGCGACAGCACGCAACGTCAACGAGTTGTGGGCAGTAGGCATTGGTCATGTAATAAATATGTATGTAGGTGAATATATACAGTAGTTTTACAAGAGTCACTCCAATACGATAAAATCATTAACATTTGCAGCAGTGAATCTCATGTTCAGAATGTTCACCAATCACAACACAAATGGCTGAAACTGCCGTTTCCATAACGACCATAGCGCGTTCCAACCTACAAGAGCATTACATATTTATCATCAATTGCATATCCGTTCGAGCCTGCGCAAGCCCTACAACTCATCTTTGAATAGACGAAACACAGCGTCGACGACGTTAATACGTGCCACAGGTATGTACATACGACGAAGGATTCAACCTAATGCCAGGTCGGATGATTAGACGTGAACAGATATCATTTCCAATCACGTAAATATGTTGCTTTTTTATTTATCATTGGTCCAAATTTACTTTGCGTACTCACTTACGTATATTTATTACAACAATCTCGGGTGTGGGTAAACATTTCATAGCACATTTGTATACTGAGTGATGGTGGACTATGCATATTCCGTACTGATACAAATTATTATTTTGCGTGATATACCACCTTGCTTAAGTTAAAATACTTTATCGATGGAATTGCTCATTTGTGTTTTTTGGAGGGAGACAGTTTAACACTTATCACAGAATAACAGTCCTCGTAGATACTGGTTTTATTTATAAATTATATTACATTATCATCCACCGCCAAAGAAACGTTTTTGTAAAACCTAAATGTTAACTATTGTGACTAGAAGAAATTTTCACAATTTTTCCTGACGTTCAAGTGTAATTATTCACAGCGGAAAGGGTGATATTTCATGTACGGTTTAAATTTTACGAGCTTCTGATTTTGAGATATGACCACAATTTCAGGGGCACGTCCATGGCATTTAGTCAGAAGGGTTGTACTTTATCTTCAGCATTTGGAGCTACACATAGATTTCGAGACCTGAGTTTAAGAGTGTTATCTTGTAGAGTAACACCGACAAAATACATCAAAAACATAGAATAAATAACAAGAAACTGTTAATTCCACAACAGCATAACTTCCCAAATATTCTCTAATATCTCAGCTTCCTGAAATCATATATACTGTCTATTTACCATGCTTCCCTGCGTAACACTAATTGCAAATTAACTATTATTGGTTTTCCTGTGTCGTTAGATTATATAATAAAGGCATCGTGACTATAATTCAAAATAAATCAAAATACACCTATTTGGATTAATAGTTCTGTATTTATTCAAAATTTGTGTTGTAGTCTTCTGTATATGGCATATGTAGGCTTCGATTGACAGACAGGGGTAGCGCATTTTTATATATCTTTACTTTGTATAGTTCGGGATTATATTGTAATAATGCTATTTTATTTTCTTTTTCTTTTTAAAATGATTTTAATGCCAGGCGACAGTTCTGGGTGTCACTATTGTCTCTCCTGAATTTTTTTTGTATGTTGTGCAAATTGCAAGTGCTAGTGCTGCCAAATATTCATATTTGGGATTACATGACAGGGTGTGTGGTCTTCTCCCTATCAAACGGCAATTTTAATGCGCTATCCTGGCATCAACCAGGCTCGGTCGAACACAAGCACTTGCGGCCCTTAACCAAGGTTCCCCCAAAGTCGCAGTCATTAGTGAATGAATCTTGGCCGGTGGAATTGGCCTTCCCATTGAGTCTGTGGCACACACACCCAGAGTAGGGGTCGACCCTTTGATGTTCAGCCTAAGGTGGGATTTGAACTTGGGTCTACCGAATCATGATGATATTCTTTTCGTCTGTTGTCGTTCTCTTTATTTTTATCACCAACGAATATACAATTTTTTTTTCAGAGCCACTGTAGTGTTTCTAATATAACGATGAACAACACGTACAATGAAACTACGTTAGACGATGTGGATGGGATTAGCGGATTATCTGTGGTTAATACGTTCATCGCTATCATCGGTATAGTTGGACTAATTGGTAATTTTGCCGTCTGTTATGTTTTCCTAAAAGTTAAACATCTCCGAACGCTGACTAATTACCTGATTGTCCATCAAGCTGTCATTGACTTCATGGCTTCCGTTATTATAGCTCTCATTGTTCTTGGGCCTCAGTTTAATTCTGTGGCCGAAACACCCTTGGGTAGATTCGTCTGTCTCTTCTGGAAGTCCGCGTATCCGCAGTGGGCTTTGTTTCTAACATCTAGTTTGAACCTTGTGGTGATTACCATGGAGCGCTACTGTGCAATTGTGTACCCGCTTCATTATTCGAGATTGTTTACTGTTACCAAGGTGAAAATCATGCTGGTAATGGTGTGGGTCATTGGTTTCGCATTTAAAAGTTTCCTTTTTTCGATTCAGCACTACGATCATGGTCAGTGCTTGTTCCAAAAAACGTGGCCATCTGTGGAAGTTGCGCGAGCTGTCGGAATTCTTAACGTTTTAGTGCATTACTTTACACCGCTGGCTGTAATGGCGTTTGCTTACATGCGCTGCATCATGGTTTTAATGAAGAGCTCAGTAGCGGATGTCCAGCCTAGCCAAAGCAGCATGGCGAATAAATTAGAGCACACCATGCAGAAAGTGAGGAAAAACGTCCTTAAAATGTTATTACTAGTATTCGTAGCATATGCTGTGTGCTGGGGACCCAACCAAGTGATGTTCGCGTTGTTCTGCGTTGGGGTAAAAATTGATTTTCTAAGGGGTTACTACCAATTTACTTCTATTCTTGGGTTGCTTAACTCAGCTATAAATCCGTTTATTTACGCACTGAAGTACAAGCAATTCCAGAACGGCATCCGCATCGTGTTTGGCTGTAAAAAAGCAGCAGCAATTGGTGATATTAACTCAATTCACAGCGTTGACATGAGTATAAATATTAGAACCAGGAATACAACAGTGAATTAGCATTGCTCTGACGTATCGTAAGATAAACGAGTATTGCACCTATCAGTGCAGACACAAACAACCTTGGTTATACCAATATTTTAATGATGTGTTAACACCATCTAGTTGTTGGTAATACTGAACCATAGCCATGCCCTGACTATGATCAAATGTATGTAATATATTTATAAAAAGCACTATACTTTAATATATATATTGTTTTATTGAATTTAGCCACCCATGCGAACTGTATATTTAGATATATATCACAGTCTTGTGTTCTATATAGTAATTAACCGTATAAATACAATACGATACAATAAAATACAACACAATACAATACAATGCAATTCCTTCATGTGCAAACAGGATATGTAAAACAAATAATAGTGTTTCATGAATGGTTTGTTTGGTTTTGCGCACTACTTTGTGGTTAGCTTTACCTTCAATGTATATACTAATGCAACGTGATAAGGACAACATTTCAGGACAAACCAACGAGCTGATCGCGAGTGAAGCATTTGTATATGTTGATGATTTCGCATTATTAGTTAATATTTGATATTGTTTATTATATAATTTACAATTATTTGTATTTCATTAATTTCTAATGATTATTACAAAACACACATGTGATTATTTTTAACCATGAAATGTTATGTTGATCTATTCTGTGTTGAGTCTTATAATCTTCCTCACTTTCAATATTTCTATATGTTTAATTTTGACATAATGTTCGTGTGTGGATTAGCTCCTCAGCTGAACATATTTCAATTTCAATAAACTCGGTTTAGTCGATTGTTGGTTAATTCGAAATTCAATAGCTCCCCGTAAGATTTGGAGCCAAATAACAATTAGTGTTTCTCTCCAACGACGGGAATAAAAGTTTGTTTTAAAGTAGAATCGTAATTCATGTTTGAAAAACGTAATAATCATTTGCTCTCATACCTTGAAACATTAACAAAAAAAGGAAGAAAAAAAAAACTTTAAACCTTTATAAAAAAATGTGAGCACACGAACCAATCACTTGGTGTTTTTATAGTATGACTAATTGTTGAGGTGATTAGAAAACCTTGCGTAATAAAGTAGCTGCGGCGTACAGAAATAAAACATAAATCACGTATATACCACCACGTGCTTTGCACTGACCCAAACTTGGTCATCTGTATACCCAACTTTTCAAGGAAACTATACGACGATATGCTGCTGGAACCACGTGTATCGTAGTAATATTTGTATTATTCTTGAAGCAGTTTTTAACACATATATGTATTTTTATATTGTCCAAATGTGTATTGTAATATGTTTAATAAAACTCTTGTATACATTACCTAATTGACAATAATTGTTTGCCGGCAACTTTTCTTCTTTTAAGGTAGCGAGAAGGTTTTGTGACGTTTTTAAATAAAACATTCTCTGTCTGTTGTCTCGTTCAGAACAGTAATTTAGGTTATATATATATCAAAAGACTAAGTATAGAGGTGCAAGTTCGCACAAACTGGACAGACATTGTTTACATAATTATCACAAGACATCAAAAATGGCGAACCTTGTAAAAATGACTAAGTCCGCGATTGCGAGGGCACACTGCGGAATTTCCTGGTGAAATTT